ACTGTTTGCTTTCAGCCATGATCCATCTGACATCAGCAATGATATCCCTAGTTCCATGTCCCCTTCTGAATCCAGGTTGAATTTCTGGAAGTTCCCTGTCAATATATTGCTGTAACCATTTTTTAATTATCTTCAGCAGATTTTACTTGAGTATGATGTTATTGATATTGTTGGATAATTTCCACATTCTTCTGGATCATCTTTTTTTGGAACAGGCACAAATATAGATCTCTTCCAGCCATTGGCCAGGTAGCTGTCTTCCAAATTTCTTGGCATAAAAAAATGAGTGCCTCCAGTGCTGCATCTGTTTGTTGAGTATTCCATCAATTCCTGGAGCATTGTTTTTTTGCCACTTCCTTCAGTGCAACTTGGAATTCTTCCTTTGATACCATTAGTTCTTGATCATACGCTACCTCCTGAAGTGGTTGAACATCAGCCCATTCTTTTTTGTGCAGTGACTCAGTGTGTTCCTTCCATCCTTTTTTTTTTTTTTTTTTTTTTTGAGACTTCCTGCATTGTTCAGTATTTTGCCCATAGAATCCTATAATAGTGTCACTCGAGGCTTGAAGTTTTTCTTTACTTCTTTCAGCTTTGTGTTCTTTCCTTTTGATTTTCTGACTCCAGGTCTTTGCACATTTCACTATAATACTTTACTTTGTCTTTTCAAGCTGCCCTTTGAAATCTTCTGTTCAGATCTTTTACTTCATCATTTCTTCCATTGGCTTTAGGTATTGTCCATTCAAGAGCAAGTTTCAGAGTCTCTTCAGATGTCCATTTTTGTCTTTTCTCCTTTTCTGTCTTTTTAATGACCTTCGATAAGGTTAGGGTAGGCATAGACAGACTTTCTGAGCAATGATGAGGAATAAGAACTTCATCTTAAGAGGAAATGAAGGCTATTAAACTCGAGAGTGACATAGGTAGATTTGTCTAAGAATAATCACTTCGATTGCAGTGTGGAGAGTGGATCAAGAGTATGTACTTGAGGCTATCTAGAGGTGGGGAGAACCTTTAGGAGGCTATGGTAGTTGTCTGAACCAAGGTGGTGGCAGTACAGATGCAGCAAAGTAGACAAATACAAGAGTTGTTAGCAGGGTAGAAGCTATAGGAGTGAGTTCCATATCAAAAATCCGCACTCACTGCCTTGGAGTCAATTCCAGCTCATAGTGACCCAGTTGGGTTTCCAAGACTATAAATCTTTACAGAAACAACAGACTGTTTCATCTTTCTTCTGCAGAGCAGCTGGCGGGTTTGAACCATTGACCTTTTGATTAGCAGTCATACACCTTAACCACTGTACCACCAGAGCTCCTTAGGGTAAAGTAGGAGTAACTAGTGACACCTAAGTGTCCAGCTGGATGAGTGATGGTCCTGTATGTTGAGACAGAGAATAGAGATGATAAAGAATGGACTTAGTAGGGAAAGATATAATTTCACATTTTTAGACATGATTAATTTGAACTGTCTGTGGAAGATCCAAGAGGAAAGATTCAGTGATAACTGGATAAATCGGTCTAGAATAGGAGTCTGCAAATATTTCCTATAAAGGGATTGTTGTTCAATGCCATCTAGTCGATTTTGATTCATAGTGACCCTGGGTACAACAGAATCGAAACACTGCCCAGTCTTGTACCATTCTCCAAATTTTTGCTGTGTTTAAGCCCATTGTTGCACCTATTGTGTCAGTCTGTTTCATGGAGTGTCCTCCTCTTTTTCACTGACCCTCTGTTTTACCAAGCATGATGTCCTTCCCCAGAGGCTGGTCATTCCAAATAACATGTCCAAAATACTTGAGATGAAGTCTTTCTGTCCTTGCACCTATGGAGCATTCTGGCTATATTTCTTCCACAGCAGATTTTTTCATTCTTTTGGCAGTCCATGATTGTGGTAGTTAAGGTTATGTGTTGTGGTGTAGTAAATTACTTAGTGTGGCTTTTCTACCCATAAGTTGTTGTAAATTCCAAGGTGGGATTTTTCTATGAGCAACTGAGGAGCTCCTGATTGCTGAAGTTGTCCACCTGGAGTATTTCTGTTGGGAGTGGCACAAAACAATGTTCTGGGAGGTGCCCTCTCTCTCTCAGGTGCTTAGAGTTCTGATGCTAAGATTGGCT